CCCTGTACACCCTAACATCAGTATGCAAATTCTCCATACTGTTATCTAGACAGTTCCTATGGTACTTACAAGGAAAGTTTATCTAAACATCAAGATTTACTTCAGTTGGTGATCATTTTCTTTAATTCTCGTGGCCTCATTGTGTGATTAGGGGTGATATTGAAGGGAGAAATTAATTGTTTGTCACTATTAATATTACGAGAAGCTTTCCGAAAAGAAAGGTTTAGTTGTTTTTCAAAGTGGCGAGACTGCTTCAGGTTCTGATTGATAAGGACAATGGGTTCCATAAAACATGAGGGGTATGAGAGAATTCGAAGGCGCCGGCAATCCCCAAGCATAGAGCAGAGATTGTATTGACGAGCAAAGAGCCTGATGATTAGAGGCAGGTTTAGAGCGGACTTAGATTCCTGAACGATTCGAAAATAAAAAGAGGCAATGGGATCTGAATGTTATAGGAAGTCAGTATAGGTGAACCAGAGCTAGAGCTAGTAATGTGGAAAATCCCTGGGCGTTCTGAACAAGAAGCTCGTTACAGCAATCAAGGTGCAAAGATACAAAAGCATGGATCAGTGTTTTTTTCGATTGCATGGAAAGGAATTTTCTGATTTGTCTGTTGTTATCGAGTCTTCGAAAAGATCCTACCGATCTGACGCGCATCCATCTTGATATGAACATCATACCAGCTAGCTACGTTTTAATGTCCATTTCTAAATCTGAATTGTAGCGCTTGGAATCAGCGAAAATATGCTCTTCCCGCAACAAGCTAATACAATCAGAACGCTAGTCTGATGTTTTTAACCATTCACAGAGTAATGTCTGACCCATTTTGATATGAACAAAAAGCGACAAGGTTCCTACGAAATAAGTGATCAGCAGTGAAGCTTCCCCCAAAGCGTGATGACATACTCTCAAGGGGGGTAGAGTAAAGTGGAGTAGTTGAGGCCCTCAAACCTAAACGAAGTATTTTCATTTCGGTTCTGAAACGAAGACACTTCTTTTCCCAACCATGTTCACGAGGAACACATTCTCGTTGATTTTCATTTCTCACGCAAGAGTTTATTATAATCTCTTGATATTTCTTGATATTTTACTATTTGCATTACCAATACTAACGACAGTGACAGATCATTTATGACACGAGAAAATCTTTTATCCTTGCATTCAAGACAGAAGTCTGTAAACAGCATTTATATTCGCTGCTCCAACTCCAAACGGACATTTGGATTTGTCAGCTGCACCCCAGCGATCATATTGCACTAGGGACGTATCTCCACTCCAGCATTCGGCGTAAAACTGAATAGCAAAAACCTGAGGAGGAAAAATAATACAAAGCCTCAACTGAGGGAAAATACTCGGACGAAGGGCTAACGCTCGAAACGTCAGCTTTTGTAATCGTTACGGTGGCCAATCTACCACTTCAACTTTGTTGATATATCCAAATTATAAGGGAAAATACGTTTAACAAATCGAGGAAGTAAAACTGAAGCCGTGGGTAGTGAAAAAGGAGGAGGTTACTTTTTCTGTAGCACCCATCAGGTCGGTATCTGAAATCCTTGAATCTGATCAGCGAATCGCACGCTCGTGACAATACGGACCACAGTCCGGGCAAAAGCGCATCAGCAGAAAAAAAATCAAGCTGTTCACCGGTGTGGGCTGGTCCGTATGGGGGAAAACTGTGCTCTCAGTAAAGCGTACAGCCCTCGACTTTCGGACGGTATTTAAGACGTGGGCACAGTTTTTATCGTACAGACCTCCACCTAGTAAATAGCATGGATTTACACACAAATTCAAGGGAACCTACGTTAAGGTGACTTAATTCAAAACTTGAATTGGACAGTTTCGCCTTAGGCAGCGAAATGAAGATTCACAATTGAAAGGGGAACTTGCCTGATAACCGTGCTGTTTTGTTAGTAGAGCACACTTCTGAATGGTTTTTTCCAGATGATACCAATCTATCTCGGGCCGCAAGTTTTTCAGCATTGTTGGAAGAGCTCGATTCTTCGTGTGATCTTTGAAGCAGCCGACTTCTTCCACTGTAATGAATAATGGCAGATATAATAGAACACCCTTTAATTTTCTCCTCTCTTAATCTGTCCTCTACATTTAATTTTATATGAGAGGAACTTATTGATACATCAAAACCATCTTCCCAAGCGCGGTTGTACCTCTCTAAATCTTTTTACTGCATTATAACAACTTTGAAACAAATTCTAAACTTAATGGGGCCACTTGAACGCATCGTAATAGCTTTACTAAAACAAGTACAGCCCGGCATGATTATCTGTAATTTCCTACAGGGAGAAACAAAACCTGCTAACCCGATAATATGAAAACAGAAACTAGTTTGAAAACTTACTGCATGGCCCCTCAGTAAAGCGAATATCATCAAGTCCAATATCACCTCGGAAGCTCTTTCCTCTGATGGCTTCGATGAAAACCTGGCGGATCATTCATATCGGTGAAAGTATCCCTTTTTTTTTCAACCCTTTCACTCCCAAGATCTCATTTGTAATTCGCAGTTCTCCTTACTGTCTGCCATACAATTCTTATGATGTTAGTTTGGAGAATTTGGTATTAGATAACCCCTTAATACATTTTTCTCTTTTGATGTTCCTGGGAGAAATTCTGTCTTGATCACTCGTGG